TCCGGGTGCCTTCTATGAAATTGGCTCCCCGCTTTATTGGTCCTTATCGTATTCTGCATAAGGTTAATCCTGTTTCGTATGCCTTGGGTCTCCCTAAGAATCTGCGTATTCCTAATGTCTTTCACACCTCGTTGTTGAAGCCTTTCGTACGCAACCGACATGCACCTCCTCCCCCTCCTGTTTCTGTGGAGGGTCATGAGGAATTTGAAGTTTCTGCAGTTCTTGACTCTCGTTTCCTTAGGGGCCGACTTCAGTACCTAGTGCATTGGAAGGGCTATGGGCCTGAGGAGCATAGTTGGATTTCCGCTGACGCGGTTCACGCTCCTCGTCTTGTGCGCTCTTTCCATTCTCGTTTTCCTGCCAGGCCTGGCCCTCCCCGCCCGGAGGGCGTGTCCTCAGGGGGGGGTAATGTAGCGGTACTTACCCTTTCCAGGGGCCGGCCGGGGTCCTCTGTTCGAGCCGCGCGCGGTCCTGCTGCTGCACGAGCCGCGCGCGGCTCATCCGACGGCTGTGACTGGAAAGCGGTCACGTGTTCCACCTAACTCTAAGAGCGCGCCGCGGGTATCGGGCGCGCTCTTAAAGGGACAGTGGGTGCCTAAATTGGAAAAGGCATCCCATTGGTCCCTGTCATGCCACACTCCCCATACACTTACCTTTTGGGGGCGTGGATGTGACAGGGACCAATCAAATTAGATGTTTAGGTATTTATACTCACCTTCTTCCCTCTGTTCCTTGCCCTATCGTGGTTTCTGTATCAGTTCCCTTTAGCGCTTGTTGTGTTCAGTTGTGTTTCTCCGTATTGACCTTGGCTTTGTTTCTGTCAGGGTCTTACCTGAGTTGGGAGTCTGTAGCGCAGATATGATGCTCACCCTTGCAGATAGTCACAGGCCGAGGTGGTCAGGTAAGAATTCACCTGGCCTGTGGGTCTGTGCACGGGGGCTGTGCAGGATACAGTACCAATACGCAGGACAGGCAAGGACTGAACCAGCAGGATGGTCGAGGGATAGCCGAGGTCAAAGGATGCCAGAGGACAGGAACAACGAGGAGTAGCCGAAGTCAAGGGATGCCAGAAGTCAGAATAAACGAGTCAGGAAGCCGGGGTCAATAATGCGAAGCGATGAAACAGAAACACTGGAACAAACAGGATCAAAGACTTGACCCTGAGCACAGGGCGAGGCTGGGTTTAAATACCCTGCTGATGACTGATCAGAGTCAGGTGAAACACAGCCAAGTCAAGGTGCAGCCCCCAGAGTAGTAGCCATGTCAGGATGAACAGGACTGGAATCAGTCTTCACTGTAAATAGCTGCTGTGGCTCAGAGGTAGAAAGCAGGACCAGGACTGAGAAGATCCCCGGTTCAAGTCCCCTGTTGGGAACTCCAAGAGCGACCACGTCTTGCCGTCTGTCTATCAGGTGAGAACCGTGACAGTTTCTGACTACGTTTTCTCTTTATCCTTCTGTTCTGGTTGTCGGCTTGTTGTTTACTGTGTACTAGACCCCGGCTTGTCCTAGTTTACGCTGTCTCTCTGTGCCCTTGATTTCGGATTGTTCCTGACTCTGTCTCCTCTACGGTCCGGTAGACGTATCTCTCCTCTGTGTTGTCTTTTGTTTAGCTGAATCCTGCGTGTTGGGGTATATTCTCGTTACATGCCTGGGGTTCCGACTATCTTTGCGCCCAGTTCTGCCAACCATCCATCAGTGCGGAGGAGTGCTGCTATGGGCATCCCATGGGAGAGGCGAACACTGGGTTTTTCTGGAGGTGCAGAAATAGTTTTTGAGTCCGTACACCCAAATTGTATGCCCGTTCCCGGACGATGTGTGGTGGCGTCCAGCATCGCCCATGGTAAGGTCGTGAATCCTGAGAGACCTCCTCCGTTGGTCACTATAGTCGTTTGAGCTGTTTTGACCGGCGTGGAAGGGCATGGGTTTGTTCGACTGTCAGCAGATATGGACATTTTAAGCAACAGTAGGCAGTGTTCACGGAAACCCTTGCGGGTCGTATTCCGAATCATGGCCAGATAAAACAGACTGGGGCTCACCCAGTACATAGAGGTTGCCATAGCATTGCCTCCGCTCAGCAGCACCGTGCAGTGCACGTATAGTGGGGGCTCACCCCGGTGCACAGGGTATGAACCCTTAAGTGCTGGCCATCACCCTGATAGAGAGTGTCAGTCACCTCTTCCATTATTAAATTCACTTCAAGGGGAATATATATCTTAAGTAGGTGGCTCGTAACTCCTGTTCAGCGGTTGGAACCGCATGCCTCTGTTCAGCATTTTAGTGCAGTGCACGCCTGGCCGGGCCTGGTGCATAGGGCGTGGGCCTTTAACTGCAGGCCGCAGAATAGGTACAGGGCATAAAGCCACACCGTATCATGATTCATTGTCAATGGAGGTATTCCTTCAGCTGTGGTTAGAGGCTGTTGCCATAAGACTTCCCTTGGTCGGGTAGTGTGATTCACCTATCGTAGGGGTCTGAACCCGTAAGTGCCGGTCCCAGGTCTGAAGTTCAGGTTTTCAATCCTCGAGTTCACTAATGAGAGGGGTAGGAGCAGTCCTGTAGGGGCTTACCCCGGTTGCACAGGGTATGAGCCCTTCAGTGCTGGCCATCAGCCTGATAGAGAGTGTCCTACCTCTCCTCCAATAATAATGCCCCACCATGGGGGATATTTTGTGCTGAGGCTTGCGACTCTGTCCTCTTTTTTGCCAAAGTTATACCTAGTCAGAGATCACCTCAGGTGCACGGGGTATGGACCCGTCAAGCGTGGGTCGCCGCTAAATAAAACAGACTGGATGAGAGCACAATCTATTTTATTGTGTGCGATGCACTATGTAGACCAGCAGGGTGTAGTAGTGTGCACTTTATTGTGTGCAATTTATTGTCTCAAAATACCAAAACAACCCCAGCAGGGTGTGTGATATGGGGTACCCCTGCAGGGTATCTGTTGTGATGTAAATAATATCAGTGGACCCCAGCATGGTCTGTATAAATGACAGTAAGGTGTAATAACCCCAGCAGGGTATTCAGTATACACATAGT